AAAAGTTTTGGGTATTGAGAAAAACTACCGGTTGCTAGCTTGCGGGAAAAATTTCAACATATATGACAGCGTAAATCAATTTTTATAGCACAAATGGAAAATTTTAAAAGTTTTGGAACCTTCTTACAGTTTTTTGGGAGATTGGAGTCACTGGTTTGTTGGTAGTTGACGAGAAACCCTCGAACCAACTCGTTTGGTTGCAGCGACAGACCGTCTAGGAATCGTACACAACTTCGTGAAATCACTTATGGGGTCCGTATACAATAGCTCTGCTGAGGGACTAGAGTGGGCCACGGACACTGCTTGAGAAGGGCTGTAGTGGGCCAACTGTCAAAGGTGCAGTAGTGAACCGAGAATACTACTGGAGAGGGGGGCGTCCGATTGTCCAAGGTGCAGTAGTGGACCGAGAACACTGCTGGAGAATCCTGCCAGAAATTGAATTGCCCGAGAATGCTGCTGCAGCTGTATAATACTGCCAGGAATGTAAAAGCCCGAGAATGCAGTCCCTGCTGTAGTATATTGTCAGGAATCTAATTGCTTTGGAAGGATGCTTCAGATAACAGCCAGAAAACTCTATTGCAGACGATAATTAAACCTCTTCTTTGTCCTTTTATTCCCCAGCTGCCAATCTCATAGCAATGAAAAGGGGGGGGGGGAGCAACGGGCACGAAAAAATGGTTCAAGAAGTTTAAATTAATGAAAGCATTTTTCGGCAAAAACTCATCATAATCTCTATCGAGCATAAACATCGTATAACTTCAATCTTCAGTTTGTTTCGGTACAAATCGGCGCAATCTAGCCACAAGAACCGGTTGGTAGTGTCTTTGAGACAAATTGCTCTTTTTGGCGGTCAGCCTTAATCAAGGCTGAACCGAATTAGAACCAAAAAACAGTAAAATACGGTCAAATGGTGCTATAGCCCCTCGGTTCTACATGTTTTAAGGTCTGCGTATGGGGGGACTCGAACCCGGTTGACCGGCGTGAGAGACTTGTCCCTTGGCCGCACGGCCATCTGTCCTTATTTTATATGCATTTAAACTCTGGTTTTTTTGTATGCATCTATACTCTACATTTGTGTTGCAACATCCATCTAGAAAAAGTCTCATGCTTTGGCTCGAACCCCTGACCTTCAGATTTATAGACGGTTGTGCAAACCACTAGGTTAGAGGACTTGAAGACGAGGGACAGTTTTAGCGAAATCAAATTTGTTATAACAAGTGTGGACCAATCGCTTAGCAGACCAATCTTTTAGCATAAAAAGTGAGAAATGACTCTCCTATCAGACCAGCCTAAAAAAGTGATAGATGATTGATTGACAGACTCAGAAAAACGCTCAGCATGGACTTTTTGTCAACAAAAATATCAACTTCAAAAACACAACAGTCTAAATTAGCGGCAAAACAAAGGTTTATGCGCACAAGAAAACTCGTGTCCCTAGCACCACAACAAGTTTTAGTTTGCATTGTGTTGCTACTGTTATTGTGTATATTCGAAGCATGTTTATCTTGTTGCGGTTGAGCAGTGAATTGATTTTTAGTTATTTCTTTCCAAAACTGTTTATTTCTAAATTAGAAAATAAATAGATCACTTCTGCACAGAGAATACGAGAAAACTAGGCTTGATAATCTATATAAAATTTATATCTAGCCTCCGTTGGGTACGGGGTTTTAATCAATAACTCCCAGATTTTGACCACCGTATTGTTAAACCATCATAACTCGGGAAAACAGTCCTCATTGGCTTCACCGCTTCCACCTCGGCCAACTAGCAAAAAATACCTTGCATATTACATCGGATGTTCGGTGATATATTACACTAAGTGGTAATTTTAATTTAATTAGCTGGATTGCTTTTTGTTATACTTCGGACAGTATTTATATAATTTTTTTCAAAAGCCAAATTTTTTGGCAAAAAAGTGTTAATTTAGAGCTTTTCAATAACATTTTATCTGTCAGAGTAATGTATTTACACAAAATATCTTAGCAGCATGTACAATTGATTAAAAATGAAATGAAACTTTATTATGCATTATTAGTTCTCAAATTTAATACATGCGCCATACTTAGAATTGCCACCTATTGTAACATATCACCGGATTGAATTGCGCTAAAGTTGATATTTGCCGCGAATGTTGTTTCTTTTGCTTTAGAGAAAATTTTACTTCTCAAATCTGCTGCCAAATTTTCCCATGCTTAATAAGAAACAGCAAATGGACATCACTGGTCCATTTTTGGACAAAACAGGAACAAATTGTTAATACAATAGAGTGGGGGGGGGGGGGGTATTGTTAAGTAGATTCAAAAATCACTAGTTAAGTCCTAAAACTTCTCGATTGGCACATCAAATAACATAGGAGCATAGACAGTTCGGTCAGACCGAATTTCAGGGCTTGAAAACAAACGGTTGTCGAAATTTTGTAAAGAGAAATGTACTTTTCTTTTCTTTCACCCTATTGCAGATCATTGTTGCTGTGGTTTGGTAGAGGGATTGACTCAAATTATCAAACAAAAGATGGGCATTATGAAACTACACCCCTTGTTTAAGGAAATGCAATCAGCGGTATCCATACTCATCGACGATGTAAGATTCGCCAAGAAAAGAATTTAATTGATAAATCGCCGTTTGAATAACAATTCGCACATTAACCAAACACGGAAATTACCTAAGCGAGAGTCCCGGCCCGCTGTAGACGACTACATGTTAAGACCATTTATTCACGAGGGATAGGACCAGCATACGAGCTGTACAGCTCATCACGGCGAATCGCTGTTGTGCTCCTGCTTAAGAACTACATGCAATTGTTTTGGTTATTTCTCTGGGCTGGGTAATGTTGCCTCACTCGCAAGCAATGAGCATGGATCATGGTGGGTTCGAACATCCGACCTTTTTTTGGAGAGCCCCATGCGACGCCAGAAAAAGGCCAAACAGAAAGGTCTTGCCAGCAGCGATTTGTCCCCATGCTACAAGACACCAACGACCGAAATTAATGAGACAGCTCACTATCGCGCACTTGAGAAGCTGACAAAGTCAGCAAAGGATCGGAAACATCAAAAGAAGTCGCTTTCACATGCTCAGGGTTCTTCGGCGTTAAAAGTCCCCACAGACCGCAAGGTCTAGCCGTCAACCTTAGAGGAGACCGGAATCAATGCACCCTCCGCTTTCGCGGAGTAAAAATAAAGGCTGGTCGCAGCACTCTCACTTACGTTTCCAAGTAATTTAGAGCTCCAAGTAATTTATCCATAATCCTTCTAATGTTCAGGTCTACAGGAAAGTTATTGACTGGAAATTGGATGATTCTTTAACTATTAAGAAAATAGTCTCAAAATTTACTGGGGATACTCATATTACTATCAAAAGGAAAGTTATTCGGAAAAAAACTCGCCATAAACATATCAATAATAACGTTAAGTGTTTAGGTAACCAGGGTCACGCGAGCACTTCGCGACAACAAGTTCCAGCCAAAACTGAAAAACCTTCTCTCAGCAAGGATCCTTGAACACTTCAGTAGGCATACATGTCGCAAACCAGTGTTCGCTCTTGACAAAACGGTTCAGTGCTACGGTACCCAATGAATCAGCAGAAAAACTAACTTCAGCCAAAACCACCCCCATTGTATACATTCTATTCCTCATCCTTCAGACCTTGTTCCAGTTTTGTAAGCAGATGAACGAGCCAAAGAGAGCTCTGCGACAGTATCTAGTCGTCTACTCTAAATTCGCTGCGTCGGTTACTCCGAAGTCAAGTCCGGTCGAATCATCACAGAAACCTCCAAACCAGAATGTTAATGTGATGTGTCAACGCCATTCAAGTCAGGACGAAATAAACGACAGACAATTTTTTATTGCAATCTGGTTGGTCATGCAGTTAAGTAAGTCTCTGCTATGTTATATTCTCACCAGATTTATCCAGGGGATTGCATTCCTATTTCGGCGAGGACCACTGCGTCTCCTAGCAGAATGATTGGCTTTTTTGAAAAATCATATCAACGCTGAGCTCTTAATTTCAACTAAGTATTTTTGTTTTTAATTACTTAAATTTACTTGATAGTGCTTTCCTCTATTTTTCTGATGTTGGGGAAATGGGACAGCTTTGTAACCCATTGATGGTGTTTAGTACTTGCTTGAGTGTCAAAATTGGCCTGGGTTTCCTGAACTGGACATAATTAGTTGAGTAACTATGTTCATTCTTTGTTGGCCATCAAATAATTACGGTTTACTCACGCAAATTTTCGTAAAGCATATCAAATACTCTCATGGGCGGATCTTAGATTCTATCTTGGGGGAAACGTTTAAGAGAAAAACTGAAAAATCAAACATAGCCAACTCACAGTTGGAAAAAAGTAACGAACGCAAATAAACAGAAAAAAAACACTGACAATGTTCAAAAAATTGCAATTCTTAGAACAATTTATGATTGACGCTTTCCTGATAACATTAACCCAACTTGAGAAAATTGGATCAATCGCTAAACTTTTCATTCCGCTGGAAATTTATAAATAAAATTCTACTTTCGAAACTAGAAATTGTTCACATTTTCGTATTTGGAGAGTGCTATTTACGTCACTTTCTGCAGATGAGTTTCAATTGAACTCAAAAAGTGCACTTATAGCTAAGTGCATTCATAAATTCATCAATATGTATGAATGCACATCTGTAGTTAATAAAGCATTTTATTACTTTTTCCTGAAATAAAAACAAAAAAATCACCAAAAAAATCATCAAAATCACTTTGAAGTAACTTTTTACTGATTTCCTTCTTCAAGGAAGGCTGGGCAAAATAACCATTGAAATTGAATTTGTTCTTCCTTACCTTAAATCGTAGCTTCACGCATAAAAAAAATATAAAAATAGAAAGTTTCAAAGGCGAAGGAAAGTGAAAAATTAATTCTGCCATTGGTTAATCTATGGACTAATCAAAGTTTTCAGAAGACCTTCAATTCATGTTGTAATTACAATTAGTTTAGTTGATAGATTACTATAGATTTTTTTTCATAACCGCAATACCATTTGACTGAATCAGAAAACATCCTGAATTTCGGTCATATAGGGGCAAGAGTATTTTCTCAGTTTGGCCATCAAAGTTGTTGAATCAACAGTCTGGCTGACAAACATTCCAGACCGGCCAAAATAAGTCTGAGTCCAGTGAAACATGGAGCAGTTTTCAAGTTCAGTGAGCTCCTGTAACTGTCGACTCGTTTCTGTGTCGTTTCGATTGTTGAGCGCTCGGTCGTAACATAAAGCACCACTATTGTGTCCTGAAAGAAGTAAAATGAATTGCTCCGAATTAAGATGTCAATAAAAGCAAAATTCTAACACAAGAAGTTCCGATTAGAACCATCTGGGCAAATTTCGTTTATTAGAACTTTTCTAAAATAACTTTTTTTTTGACACGGAGCGGAGCTACAAATAACAATTAAAAATAAATAGCTATAGCAAAAAATATTAATATACAATTATTCACCAGTTGAGTTTTCAAAAAAACTTCTCAACACTTGAATTAGGATGCAAAAGAGTTAAATGCGCTTCATCATTCAGCCTAATAGGACGTGTATTTGTGATACTGATTTGTGTGGAAAAAATAACATTAAAAACTTAAAATTTAAAATAACCTTGAAATGACAAGCCTTTGTGTCTGACGTAACTGAAAGACACTAAAATCTTTTTTTCTCGACACCGCGAAAATCACTTCAGCGAAATTTTTGATTCCAGACCTAAGCAATATTAAAGCCTTATATTTGTACTCTTTGGTCCTCCCTTTGTACTATTTTAAGATATCAATTTTTGGCTGTATTAATTGGCTGTACAATAGATACTATTTTGGCTGTACAATATGGACTAATTTTGAGGGGTAGCGCTCGCCAAAAAAGGCATTTTTTTGGTCAAAGTTTGTCAAAAAGTGCCTAAAAACGCCTTTTTTGGCCTGTTTTTTTTTTCAAAAATTGCCTTTGGCGCAGAAAGTTTGATCAAAATAGGGTTTTTATAGTGATGTAGGAGAGGTCAGAAAATCTCAATTTGTTCGACTTAAGAAAAGGTCGTCAAAACTTTATAATTTTTTTTTTAAATCTGCCCCCGTTGATCGAGAAAGTCCTAGATCTGCCCTGGCATCGAATACGAAGTTTTTTTTATCTATCTGTAGTTGGTTTGCAAATTGCAAATGAGAAAACCACGTACAGCGTTTTCAAATGCATCCTGGTTTACAAATTATGTTTTATTCACTTAAAACGCCCGAAACAGTTGTAGTAGTGGGGTTAATACAAACTTTTTTTTTCATATGTGTTTCAATTGCTTCCTGGGTTGAGGTCCGCGACTTATTTTCAACTTTTTCGGTCGCGCCGGTGTTAACTCTGCGACCACAAAATACGTAGTCTGAACAGTGACAAAGTCTGGAAATACCGTAACCCGGTCGCGATTGTCAAAAAGTTAGTAGCGGACAAAGCCTGGAAATAACGTATCTCAGTCGCGATGGTAACACATAAGTGGCGGCAAGGTCAAAAAATAAGTCGCGCCGATAGCGGACTCCTTGCCTCGGTCGCGGTGGTCTGAAAACACCCAACTCTGAAGGCGGCAGTCTGGAAATTCAAAATTTGGTCGCGACCGCCTGATCATAAAAACATAACCTCGACTCGGGTGGATCTCTTGATCATGCAAGCATTCAATGAAATGAAAAAATCAGATGTGAGATGAGCAGGCAGAAACCTTGACCGCGAAAATTCTAATTCAATCACTAAACTTGTGTGCAGCATAGAAGAAAAATCGTGAAATTAACTGACCAATAATTGACCATTTTCCGCATTTTTCTAGCAATCCAACGGTTTTGTCATTGAGGTTGACTGTTTTATTGAGCTTCGCACAATGCTCCATCACTAAAACAATTGAAAATATTCTATTTTGTTGGGTTGGCACATAGGTTTCAACGCCTTGCAGATTTTATGTTACAAGTTTATTTGACAGCAGATTTCGCCCTTTGGAATTTTTTTTGTGATCAGCCCGAGTTTGGGCATTAGGCATTCCGACTTAATCAAGTGCAAAATCAGCAATTTATAAAACAAACCAGACAAAATTTGCCATTGAATCAAAATAGGACCAAAACTGTCATTTTTGAAGTAGGACAAAATTCGAGTCAAAAAAATTCTCAGTGAATTAATGAATTACCAAATGTCATGAAAATTCCCAACTGGCATACAATTGAGATATTCTTGTTCAGTCTCCCACTCCACTCATTTGCTTAAACTTCAAATTTATGATGAAACCATTGATTTTAGAAGATTGGCTATGCAAAATACTATATCTAGAAATGGGTCGTTCATGTTCACACCCCCCTCTCGAAATCCGCTGGTGAACGCTGTGGAAATTTACGGCCCGTATTCAGAGGCGCCCCTTTCAAGCGTCTCTGAATCAAGTGTCGAGATAAAAATATGATAACTGATTGTTCTTACAGGTGGTGAATAAGGCCCGCGTGAGTGTCGTATACCCGCTTGGGTTGTAGTTTGTCACAGCGGAAACCATGGCCACCTTCAGCAGTTCTAGCGACTCCCTATCCTGCGAGGCTTTATACACAGTATTTCCTTAAACATATGTCTAGTACAAATTGTAATTCAGTAAAAATAAACAACATACTAACTAAACAACAAAAACAGACAAAAAAATAACACATATTTTAAGCTGTCAAATTCAGTTTGTTAAAAACACAAGAGAAATTTGAATGCCCAAAAATTATGTCCACCAATAAAAATTCAAAGTTTGAAAATCTGAGATGATGAAGCTCGAAATTCAGGCAGTTTAAAGGATTATCTTGATTGGCTTATAATTATGACGCATCGGGTCCTTGGATTACGGTGCTCGTCTTATATATTGAATACCTCGACCAAATCGCGGCATGTTTTGACCGTCGCGACTAAAATAGGCTACGTTTAATTTTATCAACCAAACTGTGGTATAATTTAACTTCCTCCGTTAAAAGTATGTGCTAAAACTGGCTTGATCCGGCTTAGATAAGGTTTGTCCATCTCTTTAAAACATGATTGAGTCTTTTGATTTTCTCGACTGAAATAAATGTAACCGAGTTTGAGCGCGTATATTTCAACTCTGACAAATAATCTCGAGTTTCTTGACTGTCTTACCGAAACAAAAACTTTTCTATGCATTTATGTCTTCAGTTGTTTTTGCAATTATGAGCGGTTGAGCAAATTATTCTCATGGCAAGATTTAATATTCCTAAAACGGACAAATTTCAGCCTCTATAATTTTAAACTTAACTTTAAATTTTAATATATGAAATGTATTGAATAGTGACAATTTTATTAAATAGGTTCCGCCCTTGAACAAATTTAGTTCTTGCTGAATTTAACACTGAATTGCTGAATATGAGCTAGGGACATAAACCAGTTAATTTATTCAATACAAAGCGCCGTCGTTCTTAGCTTCGACAGGTGAAGACGACTATCATATTTTCATTCAGTACGTCATTTTCATAAACTGCTGAATACAACAGCCATCAACTTTTACACAACAATCTTTATATTCATATTCGTCTATTTCCTCCAAAGGATTCTTTTACTTGAAGATTGGAAAGCAAGGAACAAAAAAGTGGCATAGAAACTCTTTGTCGACTTCCATGAAAAAGTCACAGAAACGACGTCTTCGTCCAAGAAGTAGTCAGCAAGCTTAGTGACAAGATACGCCTTCAGTGGAAAGCTAGGTTAACCTTGGATGACACCATTCCTCCTGCGTAAGCAATTCATTCGTATCGTGGGTCTATCGCGAAGGAAAAAATAAAATTATTGAAAAAAGAAAACACAAAAGTCAGACTTTGTTCCCCAACATGGTACCAAAATTTTTATGAAACACAAAAAAACGGTTGATAAAATTTTTGACGTGTTTGTGGCTCTGGATAACAAGTGTGACGATCTTTTCAAAACCAGCGTTTTCCTTATGTGTGAGGTGACACCAATTCTCGAAAGTGCAGACAGTGAAACTAAAAACAAAATGATCAATGAGCTGAATGAACTCATCAACAGTAACTTTAGCAACAAAGACATGAATAATGTCGATTTGGAGTTCAACACTATTATTGGCAATGCTCCGGAGTTTCTTGAAAGCAAGAAATACAACCAACTGTAGAATGACAACCTAGATCTCAACTATATAACTGGGTTGCCTGCACTGCGGAAAGTTTTTCTGTCGGTCCTATTGAAAGCCTCGAATGGGTTCAAAGACGCATCGAAGAGGTCATTGAAATCAAAGCAAATATTTCAGAGTTACCAGCGCCAAATTGAAACTCAGCAACACACGGCCCATCACAGTGCCTATCAAAACGCTCACACTTGGAATAATAAGCATAGTTCAATCTAGAGTCATCAGTCAAACAAACCGCAACTACCAAAGTTACTACTGTTCAGTTTCTTTAAGGACGGTTGAGTGAAGGTGTCGACTATTTTAGTTCATTTATTTACGTGCTATGTTTGTTTGACGTTCGTTTTTTGTCGGTAATTTGTACTGTCATTTATCCGACTAAAATTAGCTTCAACTGTTTACACGCCATGTCTCTCGATTTTTGCGATGACAGTACAAATTAAATCTCGAAGCAAAAAGAACCATAGAAATAATTTAGACTTTAGTACAAAATAAATCCTTTATGATTTTTTATTTTTACTTTAAAACTTCTATCAACTGACATAGAACGTAATTTATGCTCCGAAACATATTGTCCTAGACCAAAACCCAAAACTATTTTATTTGAATTGCAGAAATTTTGCAAGCAAACAACATCAGTTCAAAAATTCATTCAATGATGTGGAAAAAAATGTTTTCACAGTTTACCCGAAAAATGGCTAACTACTAAAGACACATCAAAGCTTCTTAATCCTCACGAAAACAGTTTCGAGACAAAACATTGAGATAGAAAAGCATCAAAATATGGGGTTATTTTATTTTTTTGTACTGAAATTTTTGTGAGAAATGATCTAGTCCTAATGAATTCAAAATTTGATTTTTTATAGATCGAAGGAAATCATTATTTGATCAAAGAGCCTCCTCTAGTGGACCTATCAAGCAAACCGCTTAAACAACTGTACAGATCCTTCATTCAAGAGTTTGCAAAATCGATTGACGTGTCGTCAATTTCCAAGTCCAAGAAAACCAGAATGGGCGATTTCAACGTGAATTATTTAGTTTAAAGATATCGTAGTCGAGCCCAAAAAAATTGCCAACTTGCTCACTTACAAACTCAGTAAACTTGACGATTTTTTGCAATCTTCTCAATACATAGTCACCACTCCAGTAACGTTGGATGTGTCTTGTTTTTGTTTTGTTATATGATTTAACAGAAAAAAATTCCTGCTTTGAAAAAAATGAAACCCTTGGTCTTTTTCTAAACCAATTAGTACTTTAATCATTGAATGCATGAAAACAATTTTTTCTCCTCATCATCTTAAACTAAACCGGCAATTATTACCCTTTTACATCAAAACAGATGCTCTGAAAATCCATTTAAATGCAGGTGAATTTAAGTCAAGTCAAAAGTACTTAACAAATAAAAGAATTTCAAATTACGAAATATCTTAATTGTAATATTATTCTTCCTCCAACCTAGTTCGGTTTCAGGAGTTAATTTTCAACCCAAGATGCTCAAGTATTTTTGACAAAAATAGTTCGAGCAAAAATTGATATCGCTGCAGTTCTAAAAGACGCACTCTTATATCGAAAGCTTTTGATTCAATAGATCATAAAACTTTAATTCAAAAGTTTTAAAATAAAGCTTTGGAGAGGGTCTCATTTGATCTTATAATGAGCTGCTTAACAGATGCAGAAACCAAATGTAATGTTTTAAGTAGAGGGGTGTTGCAAGGAACCATTCTACGGCTTCTTTTTTATTTATACGTATAGTAACGATTTTAGTTTAAATATCGAAATGAAAGTTTAGGTAAAGATATGAAAAACACCTCAGATTGTCAGATTATAATTACCGCAGACGATACATTTTTGATCTCAAGTGGAATAAAAAAATAAATCTAGAACTTTATTTTGAAAACTTGAAGATTCAGCCAACAATTTACTAGGTTACTTTTGTTTTCACAATCTGAACTCAAAAAAACTGAATTTATATTATTTGGTAACAAAAGTTAAGATTCCAATCACATGAGCTTCAGATTGATGGACGGACCAAGAACATGTCAAACAAATACTTTTACGAATGGCAGAGGGTTTAAAAGCCTTATATACAGCCAGAGGCTGTATTGCAATCAAAATGATAACCATATTTATCAAGGCCCTGGTCTAAAATCATCTGCAATAATAAACGGTGATCCTTGCAGCAATGGACTATCATATCACTTGAGAATTAACTAAGTTTGATCGTAAAACCTGTGTTTGTAAACGTAAATTTGAATCTGCTGCTTATATAACACCAAAAAATTGTTAAACAATTTAAATCGTAGCAAAAAACGTCCTTCTATACGGAAAAAGGTCTGATCTTAAAAGACTCAGAAGTTTATTATCTTCTTCGAACTATGAAGCTCCTCTGCATCAAACGCTCTCATGGTAGCTACTTCTTTAAAGTGTTATTAGGAAAAAAGTTCTGCTACACAACAATATCCAATTCAAATTGTTAACCGATATTGATTCCACGAATACTAAAACAACAAAGATGAGATACCAAAAAAATTTCTTGACCAATTTAAGAACGTCGCAGGCCAAGTGACTTATGGTAAGTACGTTGAAAAGAAATTAGATTAATCGAATGTACGTTTATTTTGATATTATATACTATAAGTTGCAATAAATTTGTACGCTGCTGTTTTCGAGTTTTTTGCAAAACAGTAACACACCAACGAGAGTTTTAGTGTTTTTTTTTTCATTTATTTTTCGGCAAAATTGTAAATTCTGTAGTTGATAATAGTCTTCAGAAGCAAATCACCGAAAGCCTACATTTTCTTCATTTTCTTCGAAGTCTAACCAAGCGCTCAACGTCACTTACATCAGGGGTAAACATCAGAATTTTCCAACTGTTATTTGAATAACAAGAGCAGTTCTTTCAAAGAAGAAACTTTTTAAGAAGTTTGGAAGCTTATATGTGAATCTACGACAGTTATTTTTGATTTCAACTGGTAGCGTCAATGAAAAATGTAGCTCTTTTCTGTGCAAGTAGCACACAATATTCAGACCAAATTAATTTAAGAAAGGAAACAAAAATTTAAAGTTCATTTTTGCAATTCTTGCTGTAAGACTAACCTGAATTTTTTCTCTAAAAATCTCAATTGAATAAAGTGAACATAGCAAAAAAAGCAGTAAGCTATCTTTAAATGAAAGGCAATCCTCTCAGCGAGTTCTCTCTAGTCTCGTCTGAAAATCGGAAATTCTCGGACCCGTTTTTCTTGAGAGTGAGACGACTTTTTTGAATTTTCTTAAAGAGTCCGAATCCCGATAAATAAAGCTTAAAAATTGCTGGGAAAAAATTGAAAAAACGAACACTTATCTTTACTTCTTTCCCATACTTCGAGGTTGGCCATAACAAAAACATTACATTTTTTCGTTTGATTAGATTTTATTGATCAGGAGATACTGGTTTTCATAAAGTTATGCAAAAAAAACGGTTTAAAAAAATCAGTTTAAGGTTGAAACCGATCACTTTTTTGTTTTTGGTCACGGCAGTCATGAAAGTCGAGACAGGCCAATTTTAGCTTTACATTTGAACGGGTTGAAATACTTCTAAGTTTATTTGAACAAAGTCTAGCTAGATGTCTCTTTTGCCGAAAAAATCGGAAAAAACTGAATAAGACACAACCCAATTCGATCGAGTAAGTCAAATCATACCAAACTTTGAAAAAAAAACAAATAAGTCCAAAACCTCGACCCAAAACGAAATTTAAACCGAATTGAGGCACGTTTTAGAAATTTGTAGAAGCAAAGATTTTGTTCCATTTACAACACAAAACTGAAGTTGGACTTTAAGTAATTTATTCAGTAGATATTTAATTTAAACTTTGAAAGAGCATTGTAATTAACCCAGTTAAGGACGAGTTCTTTTATTGACCTCTAGTTTCAGATCTACCTTAGCTTGACAGATTTTGGCTGCAATAGTAATAGTGGTACCACGTCTTAAGGTACCACGTGAAAATTCTAGACGCAAAAAAGAGCTTCGTTCAACAAAATTACAGGAATGTGGGTAAATAAAGAGAAACGGACTATGCTAACACTGACTGTTTAGCCTTTCATAGATCCTCTGCGAATAGCAGAAACCGCAAATTTTATTAAGATTTATGAAGCTGATTCCTAACTGGCTGAAGTTATTTCTCATCGTTTTCATATCAAACTTTTAAACAACTCCAAACAAACGAGGTTGTTTTGCGAACTTACCAATTTGTCCGCCCCTGAGTCTGACAACATAGCTGTCTGCTTGTAAGTCTATCGACTTGAACGCCAGAATATCGGAGTCGGAGTAAATGCCTCCGTACTTGAACAGCAGGGCCAGTCTTAACAAATCACTCAAATGAGACACCTGGAACCTGAAATACATAACCCTCTCAATTTCCCAACAAAAATTTTGAGCCATCAGAAGATTTGGATCAATCGATTTTGGCAATTTGCTTGCAGCGCAATTTCAAATCTGCAGGACTTTGTATTGATTTATTTAGCAAAAATGTCAAATCTGGAATCTCTGATTGCTCAAAATGAATTCTACTCGGCGAATTTTTACACGAATAACAGAAAAACTAAACAAAAAAGTACAATTTCCCGTTTGATTACATTTTTTTGATCACGATCTCGTTTTTTGTTCACGACGCGATCTCGTTTTAAAATTAAAAAAAAATTACTTACTTGTTTTGTTTTAAGCAAAACTATTTATTTAAAAAATTTTCAGATGCTCACTCTGGACATCGATTTTTTTTTGTTTAAGGTTTGAAGGAAACAAATACAAGACTTGTAAATACGACTTGCATTGAAAAGCATATGAATTTGAAAAAAAGTTGGCACTACCTTAAAAATTGGTCTTTTTCTGTTTCACTTCCGCATCAATGCCCCGGGGTGACCTCCATACAACAAAAATGGTTGTCACAATTTCATTTGGAAAAACTGATTATCATACAATTCCAAGTGTGGGTTCTATAGAATATGAGTTTACATCGGGTTTCAAAAGAAAAAGATTATTTTGGTCATCAATTTATTTTTTCAAACAATCTTTGCTTATTCTACAATTTCCATTTATGAAAATTTTGTGGTTAAAATTTTTTCCATACAAAAATTCCAAAACTGAGAAAGTTTTTTTCTAGTTCTCGTTTTAGTTGCTAAACCTGTTTTTTGTTCGAAAAATAATTCAAATTTTTGCCTATAAATTGTCCACCCCTAGTCTTTTTACATAAAAGAATCAAGGATCACAATGACCTTTGTGACCTTTGATTCTCACGGGTTTCGCAGTCATATACAAAAAATTACGTTTTCTAAAAATAATTTTGAGTGCAATTCAATTTTTATCCGACTTAGCATACAGCAAATACTTTGTTTTATCTGTCAGTTATGTTGTTGGTTTTCTCATTTGAGAACACTTTCAGGGCGAATTACAATTATAAAGCGAAACGCAAAAAATTCCATGGTAAAATGCTTGTCATACAATTGCATGGAAAAATACTTATCTTGTAAACTTTTTCATATGTGCTGTTTGTTGGGATTATATGATAAGCATTTTCCCATAATATGGAACTGTATGATTAGCTTTTTTAAAATCCGGTTTAGCATGTTTTGGAATTGTGGAATCCAAGGCGAGATGTATTAGCATTCGAATTTTAAATACAAAAATAGTTGCAAGTTCGCAGGTGCAATGCTCTGAAAGCCATATGCTAATCTTTTGAGTGTTTGACTGCGCAAGCCACTCTAAAATGATATTAGAACTGTGTGTGTTAAAAGATCTGTTTTTCCAACTACCGTTTCGAAAGATTACGGGAATGAGCATTTTCAAGTATGTAAACCCCAAAAATGAGTTCTAGAACAGTTTGAACACCTCTTTTAAGTTGTTTTTTGAGGCGATAGCATGCCGTTGGCCTCAAATTGTCTCAATTATGCCCATTAATATCAGTGCATTTTCAAAGAATGGCCTAAGTATTACAAAAAAAAATAATTTCCGCGAAAGAAATTTTTCTCGCGTTTCATTCAAAAGTACCTCTTTTTTTACACACGCAAGCTAGTGAACGTAGTGTCATACAGTGCTGATTTAAACTAACCGGACAAAACGCGTTAAACTTGAAATTTAAAACGCGTTTTTCTCAAATTGGGTTGAGTTTAGGTGAAAACTTATGAAGACAAAACTTGCTTAAAATTTTAGCAGAATTAATGTGCGAAATTTGCGAAATTCGGGCTCAAAATTTTACCCCAAAAGTGGGTCATTTTGGCTTTTCTTAGTTAATCAAAAATTACGCCAAAAATACCCAGTCGATCACAGACATAATTATGTCAAAGTGAGCTCCTTACGTAGCCCAACAAACTTTAAGAAGGGTTTATTCTCCAAAACATTGTATAAGTTAAATTATTTTTGTTTGATAGACAAAAAAGGTCGCTTTTACTATAAAAATACCAACTATTTATTTAAAAACAATTTTTAAACGATTTCCAATTTTTTTTTGGAGAATATACCCTTCTTAAAGTTTGTTGGGCTCCGTACGGAGCTCACTTTGATCTAATTATGTCTGCGATCGACTGGGTATTTGATGGCGTAATTTTTGATTAACTAAGAAAAACCGAATGACCCATTTTTGGGGTAAAATCTTGGACCCGAATTTCGCAAAACAAATTAAACCATTCTAATGTTGCTAAAATTTTAAGCAAGTTTTGTCATCATAAGTTTTTACCTAAACTCATCCCAATTTGAGAAAAACGCGTTTTAAATTTCAAGTTCAACGCGTTTTATCCGGTTAATTTAAATCAGCACCGTATTACGAAGTGCGTTTGTGTTTTTTTACCATCTCAAGTCACAATCAAAATTGTTCTCTTTGATGCTTACAAAATCATTGCCAATTTTATAGCATTCGTTCTCTGCCTTTTTAGTGGATATATCGATTATATTGTCATTTCATTATCATTATCTATAAATTTATAAAAGTAATCGATTATAATCCATCAAAAATTGATTATAATCCTAGTTTTTTTTTTCATATCATTATAATCCATTATAATCGATTATAATCGATTTTAATCAATTGAAATTGGATTATTTTTTAAATATTTCTTACGCCAGTATAATCCCTTATAATTGGTTACAATCGGTTATAACGGATTTTTCGAGAAGTTAGTCAAAAAGTATTCAAAGTTATTGCATTTCCTGTTTGGTACGTATTAGGTTTCATAAAAGGTTACATTTCACTTTTCAATTTTTATAATTTTTGTCTTATATACCCCGTTTACCCCCTCCGTATTTACCCCCCCCCCCCTGTTTTCCTCCCTATTTACACCTCAACACCCACCCCCCCCCCCCCCAGTTTACTCCTCCTCATTTTACCCCACCCCGTTTACTGAAAATGGACGGGGAAAAAATGGGGGGGGGGGGGGGGGGAGGGTGGAACAATTTGCCATTATGGCTGATTTCGCAAAATTTGTGTTCTAGAAAACTATGTTGAGAAGCACCCGGGTCGAGGTGCTCGTTTTTACGTTTCGAGCCTCTCGACCAAAATCGGTATGTTTCGACCGTGTCCGACTGAAACAAAAATTCTCGACCATACCCGACCCAAGCAAGATATGTTTTGACCGTGCTCGACTGAATTCGGTTATGTTTCGACTTTGAAACAAAATGAGTCATCTGGTTCAAAGGTTATAATTTATGCTTTTCGCGTAATATCTTGTGAGAAAAAATTGATTAGAGTTGTTTACAATAACTAGATATCATTTTTCAGCATTTTGTTCTATCTTTTTCCATATAGAGCATTTTTTCTATCATTACGAGGCCAAACTAGGCACTGGATAGGTGCACAATTCTGTGTCTGTATGTTCCTGGATTCCAGAGACAAGTCTTTAAACATGTTAAAATTTTGTCGGAAAGATCAAAATGAATGAAAGAACAAAATCAGAACAAAGGGAGCGTCCTTGTTGCGGAGTCCGCTTACAATGTACAAAATGCACAGTTTGGCCTCGTAATTATCTTTTGGAATCTTGGTTTGCAATTTGACTCAAATTTTGACTATATTTGAGCACGCTCGAGGTAGTTTAGACCGTGCTCGAGGTATGTTTCGACATTATTCGACCGTTCTCGAGGTATGTTTCGGCCGTACTCGTGGAATTTTTCAAATTTGTGCTCGACCAAAACCCTGTCTCAATGATTCTTTTTCAGTCGTGACCCGGTCCTTGAAAACAAAATGATCTGGCTCAAAAATCTTTTGAAGTTGATATGAGGCCAGCTAATATTTCCAATATTGCGTCGCTAAACTCAAAACTTCTATCTTTCCGCTTGTCTTTGCAAAAACAACACAAGAAAAGCAGTCGAAACATTTAAGACTTGTCATGATACGAGTAGTTTTTTTTTAAAACAATAAATGGAGTAGTTAATAAGCAGGTGAAATATCACATTCAGGAACAAGAAAAATACGATAACAGTGCGGTCTAGTTTTGTTTATGAATTCAGTTATAAGTTTACGGTGATTCAATTATGATTTACAATGATTCGAATGAAAGTTGTTTCTTGTAATCAATTCACTTACTCCAAAACGTTGGCAATGTAAATCGCCCAGCTTTGCCACTGCCTTATGTTGTCATGTGTATTAGCCCTTGGCTCTCCCACTGCTGCTCCTCGGGTCGAGGTGGTCACTTTATGTTTCGGCTTTCAAAGTTGAACACATGTCCCTGCTCGGCCGAAAAATAAAAGTCGAGACAGGGGTTTGGGACGAGCACAATTTCGAAACATACCTCGAGCACGGTAGAAACATACCTCGAGCACGGTAGAAACATACCTCGAGCACGGTCGAGCATTGTCGAAAAATACCTCGAGTATGGTCGAGCATTGTCGAAAAATACCTCGAGTACGGTCGAAACATACCTCGAGCACGGTAGAAACATACCTCGAGCACGGTAGAAACATACCTCGAGCACGGTAGAAACATACCTCGAGCACGGTAGAAACATACCTCGAGCACGGTAGAAACATACCTCGAGCACGGTAGAAACATACCTCGAGCACGGTAGAAACATACCTCGAGCACGGTTAGAAACATACCTCGAGCACGGTAGAAACATACCTCGAGCACGGTAGAAACATACCTCGAGCACGGTCGAGCATTGTCTAAAAATACCTCGAGTATGGTCGAGCATTGTCGAAAAATACCTCGAGTACGGTCGAAACATACCTCGAGCACGGTAGAAACATACCTCGAGCACGGTAGAAACATACCTCGAGCACGGTAGAAACATACCTCGAGCACGGTAGAAACATACCTCGAGCACGGTAGAAACATACCTCGAGCACGGTCGAGCATTGTCGAAAAATACCTCGAGCACGGTAGAAACATACCTCGAGCACGGTAGAAACATA